CCGGCTCCGTCGCGAAAACATCACGCTGACGTCGACCGTGCGCGAGTTCCTTCTCTCTGCCCCCCGCCCTCTCTCACTCTCTCTTTCTCTCTCGGTCCCCAGTTCTCTACTTCGTTCGCCCGAGAAAAACGTCTCTTTCTTTCCGCTCGGCCCGTCGCGGCCGCTGGCTCTCTCGGCCTTCTTCTTCCTCCCTTCGATCGGACGGACGCGAAGCGCGGGGCCCCTAAAATTAGGCTCATGTCCACTCGCTCAGCGTGCCACCGTCGCCGCCGCGTCGCCGCGGATGACATCCGTGCCGGAGAGTCGGACTCGTCGAAGGTCTTTGTCCGTGACAGTGGTGTGTGCTCGCGATGGCACGCAGCGACCTTTGAATAGTAGGAACGAGGTGCGCGGCATCAGCGGTGGCGATGGGAGGGCGAGGGTTCCGTCACATTCCCTTCCGTCCTCCAACCCTGATATCGCAAAACGGAAGCGACTGCCATAGGAAAGTGGGATCTTATCCATCTTATCGCTACGATTCGCGGAGGCATCACGCTATTTCACGATTCTTTCATTTCCTCGCGACGCGAAACGAGGACGGCCTAAGCGTCGTTTCGCGCGGCGACTCGAAAGCGAAAGGAAGCGAAATCTTATATCGATTCGCGAATATTATTTTGGTATTTCGACGTCGATGTTATTTGACCACTGACGACTCGTTTAGGAGGGACGAAAGAATGAAAACGTTATGTCACTTCGCGGACTCCTATTTCGATACTTTGAAACCAGATCGATGTCATCCTGCAATTTAGCAGTTGAAGGATGAAAACGTAATATATGTAGATATCTGATATAACATTCATTCATTCGCACAGCCGTTTTCAGGTCACGGAATAATATCGCCACAATTTAAATCTTTCGTATCAAGTTTCCTACACAATCTTTTCACAATAATCCTTTTTTATTGTTTTTTTTTTCAACATGTAAAGGCTGAATATTTATTTCGATTTGAATGCGGAAAAGGCAAAAAATAAAGCTACGTAAAGCAAATATAACATTTTTTCGAGGCTTAAAATGTGTTTCAACCGCGTTTTTACAATAACTTCTCTCTTTCGCTTTTTTCCTTCCTCGACGTCCAAATACATAAGTCGGTATTCATAATCGGTTCTCATATTTAAGACCATCTTAAGTGGTCTTAAGATAGCACGAACCAATTACAAAGCCGTTTAAGACATTACTTAAGATGGTCTTGGAATAAGGACTGATTATGAATACCGGCCGTAGATCTCTCTTTCCATATGCGGAAAATGTGTGTGGTATATTATGTATATAGGGCGACTAGAAAGAACAGATTTATTGACAATCGCGCGATGACTCCCACGTTTTATCCGAGCTCGTCAATTGGGACGTGTAGGAGGAGAGGGAAAAGGGGAAGGGGTCCGCCCGTATAATTTTCACAGTATCCCGACATCGCGCTTTAAACGCGGAAATCCATTGTCGACGTCCCTCGTGATGCCCCGATGTCTTTTGACATGCTTAACGAGTCGCTAAGAGAGGACAATCTTCCGTTGTCGCTACGTTCGTTCGAGCGTGGAGGAAGGGATAAGTAACAACACTGGACGAGGACGAGGGTCGAAGAGGAGAAGAAGGAGAAGGAGGAGGAGGAGGTGGAGAAGGAGGACGAGGTGTGGAAGAAGGGGAGATGAAAGAGGGAGATCTGGTACTGGCTCTTCGAGACTTTGTGGAAGACAGCGGTGGTGGACGGGAGGAGGCGAGGAAGGAATGCCACTTCCGGTCACATGACACCACTGGACCAGCCGGCCACTTTGCTCTCTTCTTATTTTTGACTCATCGCGCGCGTCCAGACCTCTCCACGTCCTTTTCCTCCCTTACGCTCTTTCTGTCTCCTTCTTTTTCTACCTCCTCTCGATTAACGCGCGGCATCACAAATTGGTCACGAACGAGAGAAACAGACGCCGGACGGACGGCCGGCTGTTTTTCGACTTTCGTTAACGAATTCGTTGCCCGGCGGGGTCTCCGGTCGATAATTTCGAAAGCAGGATGCACCTGCGATCCTGCGAACCATCGGCCGAGGAATATCGTTAGATAATACTTCATTGCAGATAAAGATGTTGACATCGATACTGTATCAATTTCTCGGAAATAATGTTGTTGATGAGCAATATAATGAAAGAACAATTAAGAGCAGCATAATGAGATCGCTGGACCTTATCTTCTAATTAGTCTCGCGTCGATTACTTTCACGTGAAGTTAATGTTGAAAATTAAAATTTCGTCGAAATTATATATTAGATACATTGAGAAAAAAATTGTTTATTTGACTAAATCAATTTAGTTTATCCTTTTCTCTTTCTTATTGAAGGAAATACATTCTCCGTTGAAATAAAGACGAACTAAATTAATTACTTAGTTAAATGAACAATTTTTTCTCTCAGTATATCTATTCCGACTTGGCCAACACAATAAAACGAGATATTATTTTGTTAAAATATCTCTCAACGCAAAATGGCGATTCATTTCAAGATCGTTACGTATGCATTAGCATTACCTAGAATTAATTACGCCCATATAGCGCAAGACGTATCACAATCCTGCCGTTAACACCTCGCACAGCTAATACCGCTCTATCTCGATTTTATCCCTCGAGCTTGAGAGACTCGGCGGCTGCAATGAACGTTACGGCAGAACTGCATTGCGCCCGTCGGCCTAACGGGCTTACATCCGTTCGCTTCCCTCGCGCCGCGCTACGGTGCATTCAATTGCCCGCTAATGACGATCTGGGACCTCTCGGTAATGATCGCCTTGTCGATCGGCTGCAAAGCAAACAGAGCAGAAGCGGCTTCTTGGCGATGGCGACGTCGACGAGTTACGGAAGGATACTCCTCGGACATGATCGACCCCGAAAAAAAAAGAAACGAAACGGAATATTCAATAGTAGAGCCAGAATTTGTTCTCTATCGACTGTTCTGTAAAACGTGGTAAGCAATGAATCTCGGAATCTTACAATAAAATTCAACTTGTTTAACAGCTAAGTCTTCTAAAGTAATAAAAGTTTTTGACATCACAATTAGCGCTTATATAATTGTGCTGTACTCTCATTTTTTTGTTTGCCTCTCAATTTCTTTGTTTGTTGTATTTTTAATAGCAATCGATGGTTTTTTAAAACCACCTCGTATAGACAAGGAAAATAAATTTAATTAAGTGAGCAGCATTAATGTAAAATCAGTAAAATGCATTCAGATCTTTAAAGTTGAAATCATTATGTCTTACTTATCCATTTACAGAATTATTTTTCTTGAAAACCTAACGATACCTTATCGGACTTTTATTCTAATATTGCTTTAAGTGAGAATGAAGACACAGCTTAAGATAAAGGATGTCGAATTGTTGGGATGATTAAACACGTTTTGCAAAGAGATTTCTCAGCAAACGTGCTGAATATATAAACACACAAGATGTACATATCTATGCATGGTATATATATGTATATATATGTATATATATATTTACAAGACATATACAGATCGTATAGACTTATTATTAATAAAAACTTCTTTTCTTTCGCTTGGCGAGACACACCCGCGTGCGCGTATACAAACGCGCGCGCGCACACGCATACACATACACGCACGTATGCCCACATACACATATACACACGCACTCGCGTTCCATTCACGCCTTCATGTCCTTTCGCGCGTTCGCTGGTCGATCGGTGTGCAATCGCATTGTCCTCGGGCGAACGTCCACGTTCAGTTTCGTGATTTCGATTCCGAGTATAAATTCCGCCGATCCCGCGATCAACGCCGAAAGAAAATGCAAAATAAAATTTTTTTTAATATATTGTTATACAACTGGTGTACGTGAATCTCAATTCTGGTTCCATTCGGAAGTAAATCGAATTAGAACCAGAAAGAAGCGAGGAATCAGTTAAAGCACAGTTGAGACCGGTGATTTAAGAGATTCCAAGAAATCTGTCCGAAGATCAGATGTCGTTCTGTGCCTCGACTAGGAAATCATCAATTTTCTCATTTCGAACGAGGAAATGCTCTTTGGAACGGTCGGGAAGACCATGAACATTGAAGACTCACGAATCGCGAAAGGACGAAGGCCAAATCGCCTCGACGTTATCCGGCTCGATGTTCTCTTCCGTCATATTGTCCGTCGCATTCATCTTACATTAGAAACTTCAAATATATAAAATGAGGCTCGAAAGAATCTATCAGTGAAAAATATTTAAAAAAACCCATCAGAGCCTACATCGGTTGTTCGGATGCACAGAAAACTCTTTATTTTCGTATGAATGTAACAAAACGAATAAAATAAACGTTTCAACCCTTCAATTCGGGTCCTTATCAATATAAAATCTAAATCGAAATTACAATTTAGCTTATTCTTCTTTACCCAAATGCCAAATTGTCGTGGAATCACCATCTTGAAATTTGCGTTACTTATGTAATTTCGATTTAGATTTTATATTGATAAGGACCCGAATTGAAGGGTTGAAACGTTTATTTTATTCGTTTTGTTACATTCATACGAAAATAAAGAGTTTTTTGTGCATCCGAACAACCGATGTAGGTTCTGATGGGCTTTTTTATATTTTTCACTATTAGAAACTTCGTTACGCTTTTTCGCACCGTCTAGACGTTCTCGCACTGAGGCCATAACGCTCTTTTCGTGCTGACTCGCTCTTCTTATTCCCCAAAAACATAGAAAATGGACTGCGTGATCCGTGCTTGAAAATGGTCGATAGGGATGAGAGAGGGACCGTAGCAGACGGCCATTTCTATCTCTTTCCATTCAATGGTGTAATGGGAGAGAGAGTGAGAGGGAGATTGGCCGTCTCCCACGGTCCCTCTCTCTCTCATTATTGTCGACCACATTTGATACACTACTTAGATACGGATCGCGCAGTCCATTCTCTATGTCTTTGTTATTCCCGTTGTCTCAGTGCCCGCCCTTCGCAGAAGAAGGGTGAGGCGAGCCATCGAGAGAGAGAGAGGAAGAGAGAAAAAAAATGCTGAGCTTATTTCGATTACTCCGAGCAATTTCTCCTCGAACGCGTGCAACGACAGATTGCTTGAATCGCGACACGTTTCCTCGCATACCTGTTCGCAATGCTCATTGCTTCTCACCTCGTCTTCATCCGCACGCGATTATTTTGCCCATACAATCGACCCAGTTATACCCGAGCATTCGCTCACACACAATCATCTGCCCACGCCTCGCGCTGAAATGCTAAAATCGAGTCGCGCGACTCCACTCTGATCAATCGGCTTTCAATCCGCGCGAAGATACTCGCGCCGAGGAATATCGCTGAAAGGAAAAAAAAAAATCTAGTCGTCGAATTACTTCTGGACAAATTAACGGGTGATTTTTAATGAAGAATAATTGCGGGCACGCATATCAGCGTTTAACATTAGAACCATATTGCCATGTCCCTGAGAGAGATTCCTCATCCCTCGATTACACAATCGATTGCTTAGAATCGGCGAGAACACAAAACTGTAACACACTGAAGTAATCCGATGCGTGGAAGTAGAAAATTTTCGTCGAAATTCTCGTACTTCTACACATGCACATTCATGCGTAAATAATACAATAAAGCATAAAACTTAATGGTGGTTCTAATGTTAAATCGCGCACCAATCGCACCCGGTGCCCCTCGAGAGAGAGAAAGAGAATGAGAAGAAAAGATAAATGGAGAGGAAGAAAAAGTGAATTCGCCATTTTCCGCGACTGGCGAGAAAAGCGAGTGCGAGTTCGTCTGCAATGTTACCGATCTTAAGTCCCTATTTATAGCTAACGAAATCACCGGGGACGGCATGGGGTTTAGGAGCGGGGGAGCTTCCTCTTTCTCGTGACTTCATTCTCACGCGTGCATGCCGCATAGTCCGGTCTTAAATGACAAACGCTAACTGAGAAAAGGACGCTCGCAGGACTAGATAATACTGGAGAGAACATTAACGAAATGGAAAAGGCGATCCGCGCGGGTTTCCGCTATTTTCTGCCTCCTCTTCCCCCTTTCTTGCTTGTACAATCATTGATGTAACTTGATTTTATCAACATGGCTTCCTCGCAACACGTTTTTCACGCCATTACTTGTAAATCATGTCGTATGAATTAAAAAATTAGCGCTTTAAATTCTGTTTCTATCTCTTCCTCTCTTTCCCTCTCTCTTTCTTCACCTGATCTCTTTTACCGTCAAAAAAACTTTCGGTCGTGCTAGTGGGCTTCAACTCAGCGGCCACATTGGTCCATGCGCTCACGTCATTGGTACAATTTGCTTTCGCTTCTCCCTCCCCCTCCCCCTCTCCCCTCATTCTAACAATCGTCTCTCGCTTTTTCATGAACCATACACTTAGCGTTACAGCCGCAAATAAATTAACCGTAGAAAAGTTTGTTCTTTATACAAACATAATATACAATATACATTTCTATCTATATATATATTTATATATATAATATATTTTTTTTTTCTCCCCCTGCCCCAGACCCCGATATATTACCATTCGTTCGATTTCGCTCGGCGCGTGGTACAATGCGTATAATTCATTATGTATAGAGTTATCTATGCGTAAGTGGTATGTCTGGACGATACGCTACTCCGCGTACTTCATTCCTCTCTACCGTTCGCGCACGCAAAAACACGCACAAACACACGCGCGTACAGGCACATCTTCGCCTCTTTCGTACACTGCTTTCTTTCTTTCTCTCACTCACTCTCTCTCTCTCTCATATTCTCTCTCTCTCTCTCTCTCTCTCTCTCTCTCTCTCTCTCTCACGCAGAAACGCATCAAGACGTAAACACACAAGTACTCGCACACATACGCACATTTCATGGAAGAATAATAAATAAAGACATTCGCGACGTCAAACGTACAAGTTCGTCAAAATCCGATATCGTTCTCCTCGACTTAAATGCAACTCTTGTACTTGATGTAATTCACTTTTGCTCCCTCTGACCCCACCCCCACACACGTCCAATATGTCCATCAGGGCGGGGCCCTATGTTTCTAAATTTCTTGATCTTCTGATCATTGAGGAAACACGCGGCGTTTCTTCCACGTGTGGATAGGTTTCCGCTCAAAGCTCCGGCGTGACCGGATCCAACAGCCTCTTCTCCGGGTCCCTCGAGTCTCCAATATCGCTGGTGATGGGATGATGCCTGCTACCGGTCGCATTTGGATTACACCGGCAGCCTTGTGCAGCATGACGCGCGTAACAAGCCTCGCAGAGGGTAACGCAACCCCGAAGAGGCCAGTAGCACAATAGACAGGGCATCACCAGGGATAGGGCGCCTAGACAGGCCCATCTGGATGCCATGCGGTTACCGGTGCAAGAGCACGGCTCGTCCGCGCAACTCGTCGCGGCCTCGCCGTCCATGCTGCTATCGACGCCACCGCCGCTGCCGCTATCCACGCAGTGGTAGAAGAGACCCTTGACGCAACACAGGCACGATGCGTAATCTAGGACGGTCTCTGCCGAGCAGAGGCACGTATTGTCACAGAGCCACTTACTAGGCAGCGGAGGTGGTTCCCGGCACGATTCGCATCGGCATCTACCGCAAAAATCGCATATGATCGATAGGCCAGCCGGATCGTAGGCCCTCGTGCCAAGCGTGTTGGCCGGTTCCTTGGTGAAGGAGACCGGCTGCTTCGTGACGGCATTCGCTGCCGCCGTGTTCGTCGACGTGGCGACAGGAGAACCACCGGTTGCCGAACCGCTGAAACCGCGTAGACTTTGATTCCTCGCACGACCGCGTCCCCGATGCGTTGGCACCACCGTGGAATCATCGTGACCTCTATGGTGGTGATGATGGTGGTGGTGATGATGATGCCTCCTCTCGTTCTTCGGACAGTCGCCGGCCGTCTTGCTATCGGCATCGAGGCGTCGTTCCTGACTGCAACGCGAGTTCTTGAACGGCGTCTCGACGTACTCGTTGATGGTCCTCTCGCCATCCGGTCGTGGCGTGGCAAGGCTCACCTCGCCGATCGGACTCCTGGGCGACGTTGCGATCGTCGTTATCGCCGTTATCGTCGTGTCCGTGGACGAAGGTGACAGCAGACTCCTGGAATTCGCGTCGCTCGGTGACGTCTCTACATTCTGCGGGCGACGCAGGGACGGCCTGCTACGGAAGGAACTCGATAACGGCGTCAGAGGCATGGTGAGAGGCGCGACGCGGAGCGTCGGAGACCCGGGTACCGATTGCGACGCCGGTGGTGGCGGTGGCGGTGGCGGCACGGACGGCATCGTCGTCATGTGCACGAGCGGCAACCGCGGCGGCGGAAACGGCCGACTGTGATCATGTACGCGCGTCTCGATATGGACGAGACGCGAGTCCGCCGCGTCTTCGCCGGCGCCGCTGATACAGTCGTCGTTGCCGTCCCCGGTAATGTTTGTTCGCGAGGAGGGAGGCCGCGTGAGCGGCGATATCGCATCGTTACGCGACATCGGCCGACCGCTCAATTCTAATCGTCCTGCTGCTCCTGGACTTTGCGTCGCTGCTGACGTCTGGAGATGACGTCGCTGCTGTTGATCCTGACACTGTTGCTGTTGCCAATGTTCCACCTTCTTCGTCGCCTCCAACTCCTTCCTCTCCTCGATCCGACGATGCTCGAGACGGATACCAGCTGTGCTAGCTGGTCCTCGATCCGCTGCGGAGAACGATTCTCCTCGTGTGTTTGTTGCCGTTGCTGCTGCTGCTGACAACGACGCTGCGGCACGACCCGACCAAACCGGTGCCGTCCGCTCGCTAGCCCATCGTTCGACGGACGTCGACGATGTATCTGGAACCGATGGACGCTGACTTGACGTTGGGGTAAGTGTCGCCTCGGTAGTCCGCACTGCCCAGCCCGCGCGAGGTGGTGACACTCTCGACGAGAGCGTTCCATTAGCGAGGATGGGGCTCGGTAATGCTCCGCGTCCGCTTCCTCTCGCCCTCGCGACACGCGCTTCATCCCCACCTGAAAACATCATTATCAAAACGTCGTGTTATATACTCAATTAGAACAGGTACAACTATCTATATACTTAACACATTGCATATTTTGATTGATAGTTTCTTAAAATACTCAAGTTTTTTTAGCAAGTTATTTTATAAAGTGTTTAATTATTTAACTAAATATCTTCCTTATATAAATTGAAGAAAATTATTGCCTAAAATAAATAATCTTTCTAAAATAACAAGTATCCTTTTAAAACACAATATTCCTATAATAAAGTATCTTTCTAAGGTTTACCTTTCAGGAGATATGATTAATATTTCAAAACAATAAAGTCATGAAAAATCGGATTGTTCTAAATCACTTAAAAAGTAATATAAAAAATGTAACAACGATTTATCATCTGGATCAAAAATTATTTTAATAAGTATTTAGAAGTGTGTGTGTGTGCGTGTGTGTGTAGAAATATATTGTAAAATATTGATAGAAATCTAAACTCTTTTTAAAAGTACTTAAGTATTAAAGTTATATTGCAATGTAAAAATTAATTGCCTTGTAAAATAATTATTTGTTAAAAATTTTTATAACCAGCGAATCTCAATGAAACGTTGCATAAATTATCTTGAATGTTTAAAGTACTCTTATAAAAACATTAAAATTTTTATCATTTTTTAAATTTTAGTTTATAACACTAAAAATAACACAGTAAATGAATTATAAAAATAGTTTGTTCAATAAAAATAGAATGTTATAATAAACACAACTTTCATATATCGATCGTATCCTCTTAACGAGAGATGGTACTAGAATAGAAAATCGTGACTCCATTGCCAAGTGAGAAGATGTCGGTGAAATTGGATTCAAGTTTTCGAAAATCAAAGAAATCGAAATGGCCAAGCGACGAGGTATGGCGAGGCGTCGGGTCAGCACCTACGCGGTCACGAAGAGAGGTTCGGTTTCCACGTGGGCGAGCATGGTACGAGTGGGCCGTGGAGTTCTCGATTCGGTGGTCACCAACCCACTCGCGGCGCCCACGGTGTGGAAGAACCGGGAGAGTCTCGTTCGAGCGCGACCGATCGCGTCCTCGACGGTGCGCTTTTACTTCAACTAAAGCCGCACTTTGGATTTTCGAGTCTTACACTCTTGGTAAATGAAAAATGGAATGCGAATCGACAAACGACGTTAAGTCACGTTATAATTTCATTTATAACATAAAAAGGATTTGCTCTGCGGTCTGATTAACTGTTTATAATCGATCAGATTTATTGTATTGCGACGTGAGAATGAAGAGGTAAAAAAAAAATGAGAATCGGAATTGAGAGTTAAGAGATGAGAAAATTCTGGAGGCTCGAGAGTAGTATATAGAGACCGAGAAAGAGAGCCGAGCGTTAACTTTTCGAGAGCAGGCTCTTGAACGTTCTACTCCTCTGCGAGAGCCACTCCCGAGTTACGCGCAAACCTGCATTCGGAATCGTGTTGTTGCATCGATTACGCACACATGCACCTTCGTTCGCTCATTCACCTGAGCTACACGGTGATCGGCGGCATGGTCGGAGGAATGGCGCAGAATTAGATTCTGCGACTGTAACGTGAACGAGCTCCCAGTACGTTCAGGCTTTCGAGGCGCGCCCGATTATTACACGCGTTCCGAGAAACGTGCGTATATCGAGATCATTAATCGTGGACGCTCCGCGTTTCCTCCGGCTTCGTTTTATCAGTCGCTCCACTTCGTCGCTTCCCCTGGTACAGCGCGTTTCGATTCACGGCGGTTCGACGAGACTGTATCAATCCTGCTCGAAAATCTTCAAAACGCCCGTTCCGTTATCTCTCAAATCGGAATTAACGTTCTATTTATGCTATCGCGTGACACGTTTTATCGACACGAAATGTAGATATTTGAAAGTATCTACACCTTGACCGCCTTGCAAGGACCCAGTAATTTTATCCAATGGACGTTCTAAGAACACTCTTAGGACGTAGAACGTTTCATCTTTAGGATGTCTCTTGGGCACGTATTGAATTATTAAATGGATTCTGATGAGAAGTTCCCCAGAAAACAATAGAAATATAGGAAATAATTGAACAATTCGACCGGAATTCATTCCAAATAATTTCATAAAATGTACTTTGAAGATTTGTGCTGTATAGGGATCTATATAGGCTAATAAATAAGAAGATTAATTCCTTACACAAATCTAACAATAAAACGAAAACTTCATATATGTTTGAAACCTAGTTTTAAAGACATAAGGTGTTAAAGTTGAAGGAAAAATTGTTTTTTCAAAAACAACTTTGATTATTTTGATGAAACTTTGTATATTTTTTATCAAAATAACTCGAATGGTTTTCAAAATCTTCCCTTTGACATTCTCCTTGTATTTTTAAATCTAAGCCATTTTGAACATATGGTCGTATAAAGTTTTTATTTTGAACTTGTGTGTGGAATCACGTCTTAAAATCTTTTATGCCCATTTCTATCAATGTAGATTAACTTTGATCTCGGTTCAACTAACTCTTCATCTTTTTCTAAGGGTCTAAGAATTAGAAAAAGATGAAGAGTTAGTTGAACCAAAAATAAAATTAAACTACTTTAGAAACGAGTATTAGAGATACTCAGTAACCTTCCTGTATGTATATTCCTCGTAAATAATCGTGGAAAAAAACCCTCGCTCGTTACATAAATACCTCGTAACGAGCATCATATTTCGAAATCGTCGTAGATGCTTCATTAACGCGTTGATCTGAAAATTTGACTTACGCCAATTGCGAGACAAGCCACTCGAGCGCTAGACGATGCCAGCGGCGGTTCTCGCTCGTCGTCGCGGCGGAGCGGAGCGGCGTCGTGCGATCGCGGCGAGAAACAGGCGGGCCATTCAGAAAGGGTGCGCTCGAAGTGGAATGCACGGGCCGGCTATCGTCGACCGACTGCCATAGGTCAAAGCTTTTAACCGCTCCGCGCCAACCGTCCGCGGCGCGCAGATAAGACGAGCGTTTCGCGAGCGAACGCGAGAGCGGCCGGTGCGCTTCGACTGGTTCTGGTTGGCCCCCCGACGTTCCCCTCCCGGCTTGATTATAATTTTGCTGGCTGTTACGATTTTGTTGAATCTAGCGTTCTCGTAGCGAAAACGCATCTTGGTTGATCCGCGTCGACTGACAGATTGTGCGGACAGAATTGACGATTCAACGTTCCGCGCGGTGAAAGGGTACGAATTAAGAAAAAGAAAAAGATCGGTTGCGAGAGATCCTGTCAGGTATAAGAGAAATCACACAATATTTTAAGTAAAACGCGATTCATAACTTTATAAGAGAGTTCTTGAATTTTTTTTCTTGCAGGAATGCAGTTTAACTTGTGTCGATTTATTTCTGGTCTTATACTCGTTTCTATCAATGTGGTTTAATTTTAATCTCTTTTCAACTAACTCTTCATCCTTTTCCAAGTCCAAGAATTAGAAAAAGATGAAGAGTAAGTTGAATCGAGATTAATTAAAGTTAATTTACATTGGTAGAAACGCGCATCAGTCTTATGCCCGTTTCTGCCAATGTAATTTAATTTTGATCACGGTTCAACTAGCTCTTCATTCTTTTTTCAAAGTCTAAGAATTAGAAACGAGCATTATTTATGTCACAGTTATTTGTCATTTTATATTTGTAACTTTTTAAAACGTTCTGTCGATTTTAAGAGTGGATTTCATGATCGATCAGAATTCTCTCTCAGTTCATAAAGATACGTGAATTATTTTTCGTCGCAGATACATCGTTGTTCGATTGATCGTCTTCGCGGATTTTCCTGGTAATGATTAAATGAATCGATCATGCACCGCGCGAAACGAAAGAAGTTCGTAGAAAATTTCTGATAAATTAGTTGATGACAATGCGATGATTATGCGATACAACATCCGCGTGCCACACGTTTATCGAATTACTAATGAACATTATATTACGTCACATGCAAAAAACCGAGGAATAATATCGCTTCTCGAGTTTCATAGATCCATCAAGTCGATTAATCTTTGAATAATCGTTTTGAAACAACGAATATTCGTATAATTTTATATATTTGTGGGAACCTTTGTAAAGAAATAATGTATAGTTCTGAAAAAGAAATTAATTAAAAAATAAATCGCGTTAAATGTGGAAATAATTGGATGGACATGCGGAAGATACTCGAATGTTATTCGTAAATCAATGTATATTCATGGAGTAAGCTTTTTTCTAATTTTAAATCGAACAAACGAAGCAAAACTAGCAAAAGGCATGATACATTATGTGAATGTACGTGCACGAATTAGCATCGTCGAGTGGCATAAACAGTTTTTAACGCTAGTCGGAAACATCCACGATAAGAGTGGATAAGTTCTTCCTTCGATATCGGTTTCCTCTGCGGTCTAGATATGCATAAACTAACGAGCAACAAGTTTTGATTAAATACACCAATAATAAAAAAGAATTTCGGAATATTTACGAAACGTCTCGAATAGTGAACCATAACAATTTGCTCGCAGCAACATTATCGCGAACTTTTAACGACTTTTGTAAATCTGGGGAAATTCCGAGTGATGGACTATCCAGTCTCAAGCAAAATAGGTCGTAGCACATAATTCGCGAGGAGCAATATTACTCAGAAATTTTAGTAAATCGAAAAAATCTTAAAAAAAAATTAGTCTTAAAAAAGTCTTAAAAAAATTATGATGCACAATTCATAGCACAATGTTATTTAAAATTTCGCAAATTCGCAGACAATTTTACACTTTTGTAGGTTTTAGAAAGAAAGGGAGAAGTAGATGGAATATTCTATGTTCAAAAAAAGATTAAGAGATTTGAAGCGTAAGAGCGGAGTACAAAGAAACATCTATGAAGTCATTTTATAAATCGCCAATAGAATATATTTAAGGTATGTATCTATAAGATACATTTCGAGTGCGGGATTGTGTGTTTAAAACGTGGGCCTTATGAATACGCGGAGACTCCTTCTACCTCCTCCAAGCCCGTTTATCTGTCGCATCGAGACTAGCCAGTGCTAGACGTCGCGCA